TTTTTTTTTTTTCTTTCATAATTGAAATTGTACTGATGGTTTTGAGGATCAGTATTTTGCTGTGTTGTTCAATCGATGTCATGTCTGATTCTTTGTGACTCCATGGACTGTAGCCTACCAACCTTCCCTGTCCTTTACTATCTCCCAGAGCTTGCTCAAACTCATGTCCATTGAGTCAGTGATGCCATCCAACCATCTCATCCTCTGTCATCCCCTTCTCTTGCCTTCAGTCTTTCCCAGCATCAGGGTCTTTTCCAGTGAGCCAGCTCTTTGCATCAGGTGGCCAAAGTATTGGAGCTTCAGCTTCAGCATCAGTCCTTTCAATGAACATTCAGGGTTGATTTCCTTTAGGATTGGCTGGTATACAGAAGTTTAAATTTGTGTATAATTCTTAACATTTGTACCAAAAATCTAAAAAAATAACATGTAATTGTGATTCTTTTCTGAACAATTATCCCAGTTACTCTCCAGTTTAAAATCTGGAGGCAAACTTTTCTTAACAGTATGTTAAGTATGAATGCTCTCAAGTGTTCATACACTGTTATATTACATATCCCACGGATTCACAATTTGAAAATTCATTAGTAGTGTATGTGACATTAATCTTTCACAGCAGATTAAGAAAGTTACTAGGAAAACTGGATTACCTGAACAAAGATGCTATAGAGTGCACAAAATTCTGACAGGGAGAGCAGAGATCAAGGTGTGGTTTTTCTTTAAGAAACAGTTCCATCAAAACCAACATGGGAATAAAAGTAATTCAATGTGTCCAAGACATGTTAAACACACAACTGACTCCAAATTGCCATTTAGTGCGCTTTGTATTGGAGGATGTAAAATCTGCCCCAGCTATGCAATGTTAAGCTGACACCCAAGACAATCAAAGCATCTGTATTCAATATCCCAGTATTTTCTGGTTGTACCCAAAAAAATAAACAACCAGTAAATGATTTCACCTCTTAAAGAAAAGCAGTTAGCACCTAAAAAATGGAATAAGGTTGAATTTCCTCCTTCTTAAAAATGTTTCCAGAGCTACTCACAATTTTGCATTTACAAAATAGTTGCTAAACATATTGCCTTGTATTGTACAAGAAGGGAGACAGAGACCACTAAAGCCGGGCATGTGATTTGAATCAGATTTGGCTTCTTTCCTTTCCTGCTTCGTCAGAGGCTGGGGTCTCCTTACTCTTAGTTTCTCTGTTTTCTGCAGGTAAATCTTGTCTTTTGGTTAGCCTTTTTCCCTTGTGCTCCTTTTTCCCCTTTTGTGTTTTTTTTTTTTTTTGTCTGAAGATTTACCCTTTCCTGCCGCCTGTTTTTGGCTTCCACTCTGATTTCCACTTTTGCAGAAGCAGGTGAGCTGACAACCTCATCTCTTGGGCTCCTCCTTTGTTGCTCCAGGGTGGAGCCGACTTCCCTCCTGGGCATCACAGGGGGCGAGAACATGCCAGGTGCCTGTGGGCAGGTGCATCCTGGAAGACTTAGTGAAGTGGGAGTGCGGGTCCTCCTGCCACCCCAGTTGGTGTGACCCCAGCGTTTCACTCTTTTAAAGAGAGTGTTCTGGTTTATAGAGCAAGGCTTACTAACTTTTAGTATTGTGCACATACACAAAATTATAGAGGAAATTCTTATCAATATTTAATTCTAGTAATTTTGTACCCTGTCAAGTTTTCGTTAAACCTCTTATCTGCATGTTTTTATGTGCTAGTAGTCAATGCTTACATTCTTATAGGATATATTTGAAAAGTCTGGAAACAGAGGATTAAGTTATTTTTAAATAGTATATTTGTTACACTTTCAAGTAATATGCTCAATGTGTGTTTCCTCAGCCTTCCAGACACATTTTCAAGTGAAATACCTCTAAATTGAAAACAATAGCTCTAATTAATTTTAGACTTTACAGGTGCTCTGTATTGTACTTTTTTTTTCCTAATTAATAACTACATGTATTATTTTAAGTACTTCACCTGAAAAAGTGTCTGGGGGATTGAAGAAAAAAATGTAAATGATATTATTTGAAGACATAACATACATATTATTTAAAATTACATATTCACCCTATGTAAATATCTAGGCTTTTGAATATCATATGTTCATGGTTTGCTTTTTCACATAACATATTTCATTCCTTTTTCCACACGTTAAATGATTCCAGATACTTATCTTTAAAATTTCTGTATTATTCTATTTTTGCTTAACTATTTTAGTATTTCTAGAAAAAAATCTGATTTCCAAATTTTTAGCAGCTAGAAACATATGTAAATGAATTATTTTCTTGAGGTTAGTTATTTAGTATATAGTCCCTGAAATTAAGTTAGCCAATCAAAGATATATCCAGTTTAGCTTTGGTATTTTAGTAGTTTATCTCCATATGGGTTGAAATATCTTAGCTATATCCTGTAAACCATGTTCATTTTGGAAGTGTAAGGAGTATGTTCTATAGCTTAGCAGTATTTTAATTACAATTTAAAAATATGCCTGCAAAAGCATGTGTGTGTGTGTGTGTGTGTGTGTGTGTGTGTGTAAGACATAAATATTGACCTTAAAAATAAAATGAAAAAGAAAGAAAAAAATGTATCTGATTTCATTTGTTTGCGTTCTGTCTTCATCTTGCTTTTAGGTTTTGTACTTTTTTCTCTCTAAACTATAACCAAACATTACTAGTTCTAAAATGACATAGCACCTCATTGCTCTAGTTCATACCTTCTCTGCAAGATAAGCCTTCTGAGGTCACACCCTTGCAATAAACACTCTTGTTTATGCTTTTATGCTGCTTCTATAGTAACACACACACATCACTCAAGAGTCCATAGAACCCTATAGATAATCGCACTCTGGTTCTAAAAGCTTCTTTCAAGTGGGATGTCAATTTTCAAGTGAAAGTGATCCAGTAAACATTTGTCCTGTCCAGTCTCATTAGGGAGAAGTAGTAAACTGGCAGAATCATGTGACTTAAAATTGTATAGATCTTGAGAGTAGTGATCAAGTGTAGGATTGGCGTTTGTGAGTATTATCGAATCCCAGCTCTCAGACTGTAATTGAGGTTTGTGTTTATGTTTATTTATTTAATGAATGAAGTCTATTCATTTCTGTGTTTCATTAGCTGTCATTCCTCCCACTGAAATTCGAGGAAGAAAGAGATGGACAGTTTTTCTTATAATCCCACTGGAAGAATGAGGATAAACTCACTTTTTTCATAATTTAAATAATCATTTTAAGCAAATTGTTTAAGTAATGCACAAAAGGTTTCCAGCTAATCTGGAAATTAGGATGTCATTTCATTTATCCTACCCTTCCTTTACACTTCAGACTGTCCCCCCACCAGTGTTCACGATTAAGTACTTGATGGGAGTATAGGGCCATATCCAAGGTGGTAGTTTGCTGCTACTGCTGTTGCTGCTAAGGCGCTTCAGTCGTGTCTGACTCTGTGCAACCCCATAGACAGCAGCCCACCAGGCTCCCCCGTCCCTGGGATTCTCCAGGCAAGAACACTGGAGTGGGGTGCCATTTCCTTCTCCAATGCATGAAAGTGAAAAGTGCAGTGAAGTCGCTCAGTTGTGTCCAGCTCTTAGTGACCCCATGGACTGCAGCCTACCAGGCTCCTCTGTCCATGGGATTTTCCAGGCAAGAGTACTGGAGTGGGGTGCCATTGCCTTCTCCAAGGTGGTACTTTACTTGTTGCTAAATATATTTATTACACTAGCACCAAATCCTATACAAAATTAATCTTCTGGGATTTAACCCTTATTTTAGTTCATTTTATTTCTAGAGATAATTCCATTAGGATATAAACTCCTTCATTTGACGGTCAGTCTCAACAGAGCAAAGGATCTTATTTCTGTTCTAGTGGGTAGAATGGGACATGTAAAGAGTATAACCAACTTAACCTTACCATCAGCTTTTTCCTTAAGAACTGTGTTTATTTTTTCTTGCCATATGCAAGATTGATGAGGACTTGGAGAATGGGAGTTTAGTGGGGAAAAAACAACAATCCAAATACATTGTTGCAAGTTTAATAATAACATATGTGTTAAATGATGATGTGAAATATGTGTGTTCACAGCAGTATTTAGCTTCTTTTCTTTCAAAGTTATCTGAATATATATTTATCTGGTATTTATCTGAATACCTATTTGGTGCTCCATCTAATCAAGGAGGAAGTTGCAGTGGAAGGTAGAGATGTAATATTTATCTTATCTGTCATGATCTACGACTATAATTATAGGCATGAAGTTCAATACCAGGAAGTATTGCACTCTGCAACCAACACATCTCTAGAATGAAGGTTTGAAAGAGAGAGTAGTTATTTGGAGTAGGTGGTTGTTTCAGTCTGCTTGGACTGCTATAAACTATAGACAGGGTGGGGGAGCTTAAGCCGCAGATATTTCTGTGTCAGAGTCTGGAGGCCAAGTCCAAGATCAAGATGCTGGTAGACTTGGTTTCTGGTGAGAAACTTCTTCCTGGCTTGCAGACAGCTGCCCTCTCATGTGGTGGTAAGAGACTGCATGCTAAGTCACTTCAGTCATGTCTGGCTTTTTGTGACCCTGTGGATTGTAGCCTGCCAGGCTCCTCTGTCCATGGAATTCTCCAGACAAGAATACTGGAGTGGGTTGCCGTGCCCTCCTCCAGGGGATCTTCCTGATCCAGGGATCAAACCCATTTATGTCTTATGGCATTGGCAGGTGGATTCTTTACCACTAAGCCACCTGGGAAGCCTTCTCCTCTTCTTTGAAGAGCACTAATCCCATTTTAGTGTGGGGCCCACCCTGAAGACCTCTTCTAAACCTAATTACTGCCCAAAGACTACTTCCAAACACCATCACTTTGTAGTATCAGAGCTTCAACATAACACTGAGGGGGGAGGGGACACAAACATTCAGTTCATAAATAACAGTGATGAGAGAGGGTGTAAGGAATAACAGCATTACCATGACCCTACATCTCTTTTTTAACTTTCAGCATTTTTTCCTACCCTTTTTCATCTTCTGCAACCTCTCACTTAGATCCAGCTCCAAAATTTCCTCAGTCAGGAATATTACTGGATTGGTCTGAGAGACAGTTCTGGCTGGAGGTGGGAAGATGGATCAGCCTTAAACACCTCAAGGTAAGGGGCTTCAAAAGAGTGCAGAGAGATAGAGAAAAGAAAAAAAAAGGGGAAAAGAAATTATATGGGGAAATAGATCAAGGATAATGGATGGAGAGGCGAGGATAGGAAAAGGAAACAAGGAAGGCAATCAGTAGTTGATAAGGGCAAGAAAAAAAGAGAGGACATTTTAAAGAGGATAATGAGTAATTTTTATTCTGCAGTTTTGGGAGCTGAGAGAAGTGAGGTCAGAAAGGGAGGAAGAATTTGCTCATTTTTTATCTTTTCACACCTTAGAACTTCCTTTATTCTGCACATCACCTTAAGTGATTGATTTTTCTGGTTCCTTACAGGATTGCTTCAAACAGCTTGGTACAGAAGTGTGGTACCATTGGCAAAGGTGGTCTCCAAGCCTCTAGCTGTGAAGTTCAACTTCCGTGGGTCTGTAAGAAGGTCAGACGTTGATGAATGTTCTGTCTGTCCTGTGGCTCCCTAAAAAGAGGGAGATGACCTCTTGTGAGTAACCTTTAGTGAGTGCCGCCCTTCTAGCACATAAATTAGATGTGAGATTAATGCCGCCTCCCTGGGATTGATGGCTTCTTGCCGGACTCTCTTTGAGAGAACTTAGATGTTATCTTAACACTTTAAAGAGTGTGGGAAAATTTGTGAAACAGATAAGGTTTGTTTTTAGTATCCCTCTTGCTAGTGACTAAGGTTGTTGGCTTAGTCATCCCCATCATCTCTGTCAAAAATGTACTTTTAAAATGTTATATTCTGAGCTGAGTTGATGAAATCTGTGCAACTATGTACTATTGCCAGTGTACTAAAGGGTTTTTCTGGGTGCCAGTGGGTTGACATGCTACTCCTCCCTGATAATACATTTTTATCCTAGCAGTGCCTCTTTGCAGGTCAAACTTGAATAAGTTGTGGAAGGTGAATGAGAGAGAGCAGGCTGGTGCTTTGTGGCTCAGCTCTTCACACTTCCATAAAGAGCTGGCCTTGACTGAATTTAGTCTTTTCAAAAATGCGTAGTTGTGGTTGAATAAACCAGTGTGTTTATAAACCAGTATCTTTTCTTTGTTATGAATGTGATTTGGACGTTAATTTCACAATGTGAAATGTGGGCAGTCTGGTAAGGCATTATTATAGAGGAAAATTTACAGAAGCAGTTTATGTGGATTGATCTCCCAATTATTTTTGGCACAAATGACTATAAAATAAGAAAAACATTATTTATCCTTAGTAGGGTTGGGCATAGATGAGAAAGCAAGGTGTTGTTTAGAGATAGAGGAGGGATTAGTAGGACATAGTGACAAATAAAATTAAAGGGAAAGAAGGCACAGTGTTGTCAATAGAATCTCAGAAATAAAACAACTGCTTATTATAAGTCAATAAAGAAAAGAAAAAGAAAAGATACAAGAGGGAATGATGAGGAGATTATAATTCTGTACTGTTGGTGACTATGGATTCTGATGTTTATTTGAATTTCCCTTTTGTATTATTTCTAGGACAAAGACTGTATTTAACCCACCCTTGTATCCCAAACTTCTAAAATAGTGCTTGCTTGTATCAGTGAATATTCAATGCTTGAATTAAAAAAAAATAGAATTTAAAATTTCTTATTCTAGTTGTTTATATTAGCCCATGAGTTGATTAGAGGAGTTGAGCAAGAAATATTGTATATCTGAATCCTCCCTTAAACCAACTCATTTGAGCAGAGGACTAGTTTAATCTAGATATGTTCAACACTATATACATATATTAATATATTTGGGAATAGCACCCTTTATTCAGCAATAAACACACAGTCTGTAGAGACCTAGTCCTTAGGAAAAAATTAGAAACTATTTAAGTATATATCAATATCCAAGTGATTAAATAAATAACCACCTAACTTCCTTTATTTTTTTTCTGTAGGAGCTTATCCCAGGTAAAATACTAGTTTGGTTCTGTTGCTCTGGAGAAGGAGAGTTAGCACTAGTTGTGTGGTCCCACTTGTGCTTTGAGTGACCTGCTTAATGTACCTTCTCTTTTTCCCCCCTTTTAGATCTACTTTCAAAAGTTGCATTTTCTGAGGCTTTCTTTGCAATGCAGGGAATGTGGGTTCGATCCCTGGTTGAGGAACTAAGATCCCACGTGCTCCATAGCTAGAGCCCACATGCTACAACTAAGACCCGACGCAGCCAAAAAAAAAAAAAAACAAACCTTTTTTTAAAAGTTGCACTTTCTCTGCCCCCTCAAAGCAAGTCCTACCCTGTCTTCAAAAGGGCCACATCTTTGGTCACTTGGATATAGGGTCAGTGACCTCACTACATTCCAAATGTTGTCATGGATGCCAAGACTGCTCTTACGCTTTTCCTGTCTTAGCTACAGTGATGTCTCAAGCTGTGATATATGTGATGTCTCTCCAAAGATGGGCTAGAATGTGCTCTCTAGAGCCCCAGTAAAGAACTAAAAGTTTGTTTCTTCTTAGTTCTTCCTATTTTCTGCTTAAATAGTTTTTTATGACTTGCAAGGCCCTGCATGACTTGTAACCAACTATTTGCATCTAAATGCTGCTAACTGTAACAGGTATGGAATGCTCAAATGCTTTCCTGAAGACTGTTACCCTGGTTCCTTGTATGTGTGTGTGTGCTCAGTTGCTCAGTTGTGACCAACCCTTTTGTGACCCCATGGACTGGAGACCCCTAGGATCCTCTGTCCATAGGTTTCTCCAGGCAAGTATACTTGCCTGGAGTGGGTAGTCATTTCCTTCTTCAGGGGAATCTTCCCAACCCAGGGATCGAACCTGTGTCTCCCACATTACAGGCGGATTCTTTACCACTAAGCCACTGGGGTTCCTTGTATATATTTTTCCTTAGAAAATGCCTTTTTCCCCTCTTGAGAGCCATGTGAAGACAGTGGGAAGAGCACTGATGCTGGAGTCAATAAGACTGACTTTTTTTTTTTGAAGACCAACTTTTTAAAGATTTTTTTTTTTCCCTTGATGTAGACCATTTTTAAAGTCTTTATTGAATTTGTTACAGTATTGCTTCTGTTTTATGTTTTGGTTTTCTGGCAGTCAGGCATGTGGGATCTTAGCTTCCCTGATCAGAGATTGAACCTGCACCCCCTCCATTGAAAGGTGAAGTCTTGACCTCTGGATTGCCAGGGAAGTCCCCAGGAGCAACCTTTCCTCAAGTCCTTTTTCTAATAATTGCTGTGTGACTTTAGGCAAAAATACTTTACTCCTCTGAGCTTACATTGAGCCATATTATAGGATTGCTCTGTCCAAAACAGCCAATCTCCCAGCTCTCTGTGACATCCGCTTGTTTAGTTTCTTCAAAGCTCTTGTCACAGTCTTATTTTCTTTATGTGTTACTTCTATCAAATTATTATTTACCATTTTGAAGCTGTATATGCGCACAGTATAAAATTTAAAAGTTATAAGACATAGCCATGAAAAGAGTCTCTCCTCCACCTCTGAGTGCCAGTTCACCAGTTCCTTGCCCTGGGGAAAAATATTGTCGCCTTATGTTCTTTCTCAGATGTAAATTGTTCACAAACAAGCATTTATGTACACGAGTGCACACACACACACACACACACACACACACACACACATGGGCTTCCCAGATGGCTCAGTAGTGAAGAATCTGTCTGCTAATGCAAGAGATGCAGGAGACGCGGAAAGATCCCCTGGAGTAGTATATGGCAACCTTCTCCAGTATTTTTGCCTGGAAAATTCCATGGACAGAAGAACCTAGCGGACTACAGTCCTTGGGGTTATAAAGAGTCGGACATGACGGAGCATGCATGCGCACACACAAACACACCTCAAGTTGTAACATAGTATACACACTGTTCTGCAATGTACTTCCCACCCCCCAATGAACAATACATCTTGAATCTATGTTTATATACTCATTAGAACTGCCTTATTCTTTTTAATGGTGGGACAGAATTCTATTTTACGGATTTAACAATTTCTGTAACTGGTCTCCTATTAATGGAAGTTTAGATCATTTCCTTTCTTTTGCCTTTACAAACAATGCTGCAATGACTATATTTCTACAGATGTAATTTCTTGCTTTTTGAGTATTTGTAGACTTCCCAAATTGCTCTACATAAATCTGCAGATTTGTACTCCCTCCAGCAATGCATGACAAGTTTCATTTTCCTTTACATCTTTACCAATGCAGTTTTTCATCAAACGTTTTGATCTTTGTGAATTAGAGAGATGAAAAGCGGTTTCTCATTGTGGTTTTAATTTGTATTTCTCTTATTAAGAATTATCTTTTCACATGCTTGCAAGTCATTTGTATTTCCTTTTCTGTGAACTGACAGTTCATAGCCTATATCCTTTTTAAAAAAGAGATTGGGTGATCGATCTTTTCTTAAATAATGTGTGAGAAAAAGTTCTTTATATACTAAAGCAATGAGCCATTTGTGTGTAGTAGATGCTAAAAGTATTTTGTCTTAGTTTGTAATTTTTCTGCTTATGTCCTTTGAAATCCTTTATTCTCCATTTTAAGATTAAATTAGTTTAAGGAAAATATAAAACAACTGACCTCCAGTGAAAGGCATAATTATAGAAACACTAGGAATTAACTGGAATTGGCATTGTTGTGTCAATAAGGATGGAAAATTGGTGCATTTGCTAGAGAAACAGGGAAATGAGCGCAGTAGTTACATGTGTGAAGGCTCACCCAGGAGGCTTTAAGAATCTGTACGTATAGCACTATAGATATTCACTGACAGACTAGGGGACTTATCAAACAGCTCTAGACTCAGAACAGAGTCAGTAGTGGACAATGCTGTTGAGAGCCGAGAGCAACCTGGGAATATTCTTTGAAGATACAAAATTCTAGATAGACGCTCAGCTATGAATAATTGATTTTTTTGAGAGTGCAAGAACTTCCCTGTTGATGAGAGAAATAGAATATCAGAGAGGGACTTTTTCCCCTGTGGTCTTAAAATTTTGGCTGAAACCTAAAGCTGAGAATAGTAGGTGATAAGAAGTCCTATGTTCCAAAGACAGTCCTTGGATATACCTCATAGGACTTTCTAAATGGGTCTGGGGACAGTTACCCACAGCCCATATAATGAAAAATTCAAAACCAATTTACAGAGGCAAATTTTTTGAGGGAATCTGTGGATGATGAGATTGCTGGCATGTTTCCCCTCATTCAGCCCAGGCCAAGTTGGGGAGGAACTAGGAGGGCCCCTGCTCGCTGGAGGTGGACCAGTCCTCCCCGGTCTGTGTGGCTCAGTTCTGGAAATTTGTAGACCCAGGGCTGACTGGAGAGCAAGAGAGTGCTTGTAAGAACATGACCTAAGTGCCCTGTTGTGGACAGCATAGAAACTTCCATCTGAATGTTGCTTGGAGAGGTCTGGTGGTGGGAAGCTAGCTGAAATTGCCCCTCATGCCAAGGTAAGGAGGGGCAGATGCAGTGGATGCCAGTTGCAATTTCGCCATTTGTGCA